CGGGCCTTAAAGGGGCAGCGCGCGGCGGGCTGCCCCGACGGGGCGGCTCTAGGGGGGAGCCCCACGGGGGGGTCCCGGGCCGGGGTTTGGGTCGGGGGGCGCCGCGGCGCCGGTCTCAGCGYTGCCCTCCGCTCCCCGCAGGACGGCCCGGCAGGCCCCGCCGCAGCCCCGCGGCCAGAAGGACTTCGCCCCCGACGGCTCCGAGGAGCAGGCGGAGAAGCTGCGGCGCTGCCGCGAGGAGCAGTGGCGGCTGCTGGCCGAGGAGCGCGTGGAGCGGCCGTGAGTGAGGCGGCGCGCGCGGGGCGGCCCGGGCCTTGCCGCGGCTCCCGGCGGCGGGACGCGGCGCTCCGGGGCGCGGGGCCCGCGCTGCCCTCCCTCGGTGCGGGCCAAGCYGCCTGCGGCACCGGGCCCGTCTCTCACCCTGGCAGGCGCAAAGCGGCGAGGGGCGAGTGGCAGCCGGGCCGGGGCGTCGTGGAGCTGCAGACGCCCGCGGTGAGTGGCCTGCGGGCCCCTGCCCTGCCTCCCCTTCCCGCCGCTCCAGCCCCAAGCCCACGGCGCGGCTGTGCTTGTGTTGCAGGGCAAGTTCTGGCACACCATGGGCTTCACGGAGCGGGGCAAGCAGTGCCTGCGGCCCGAGGAAGCGCTCTACCTGCTGGAGTGCGTAAGTGGCGCGGGGCTGGGGCCAAGTCTTGGATAGTCTTGGGTCACCCAGCACCTCTTGGTGACTCCTGCAGCTCCACCTGGTTCTCCAGGGGTGTCTCTCTCAGCCTCGTAGCTGCTGGGTTGTTGCTCTGCAGCCTGCGGGCCCGTGTGTTGTACTCTGGTGTGGGGCTGGTGCTGGGTATCGGTTGGATTCGTGGCCCGTTTATCCAKCTCGTGTCACGTTGAATCCACTCTTAAGTCAACGTGACAACAGGGTCTTAARTAATATTTGGACGATCAGGATTTTGGTTGCAGTGACTGCAGAAAGTCATCACTTCTATCAAACTGAAGAACACATAATAATCTTAACAAGTTTTGTGCTCATGTTTCTCTCCTTGCCTGCTGAGGCTGATAAAATATCCATTGCATGCCCATTAATTCTTTATCAAAATATGTGTATTAGAGCCTGCACTTCCACTCAGGACTCAGGTGTTCTGGGAATTTCTGGAAAACAAATCAAACCAGTATCTTCCTATTCCTTACAAGGCTTAATTGGAAAAGCTTAGGCACTAGGCAATGTGTTTCCTCAGATATGATGTACCGGTAATTAAGACATATGAGAATGGTCAATGCCTGCTGATACGAGTTGATTTCCTCCCTTATCCCCCATATTTTACCTACTCTGCAGTAACAAAGTTCACGAGTTCTTCAGCACTCTGCTTTTCTGTACTTCTCTAAGAAGCTGACGGGAATTAGTAAAGCTGATGTGGCGAGAGGGGAATGAGACCACGTTACTCCTCTGCTTGGAGAAATGTTAGTCAGGCCTGGGGTGGGTTTTCTGGGCTCTGGAGTGGTTTATATCTCTCCAGGGATGCCTGTCATCAGCTAAATTGGTGCATCAAGCTAAAGGGGACTTGTTTTCCCTTAGCAACATTTAACCAGATTAGCAGCAGCTGATGCCTTTCCTCCTCGCAATGCAGCGTGTTTCGCCTCGGGCGATTTGACAAACARTAGATCATAAACAAATGGATTTGAGAATAAAATTTAGTCAGTTGCCGAGTACAGAATCACTCCACGGAGGCAGAAAAGGTCAGTCTTGGGCCTGCCCCATGGGAGAGGTGTGGTTCCTAGGGCTTTGTGTTGTGTGTGTGTTTTATAAGTAAACACGTACTAAAAAAAAAGGAAAGGGAAAGGGAGGCGTAGGCTAAAACTGCCTCCCGGCCCAGCTGCTTTGGCCTGGGGCTGGCACGGTGCTGTGGGGAAGGAGAGCTGCCCTCGCTTCTGCYGCTCCAGCTCTGGCTGGGATAGTCCTGAGCTTTTCTGCTCTGTGTCCTCAGTCGCAGCAAGCACCAGAGCTAAAGAGGGGATCTCTCAAATAATSATTATTTTAACAGGTGAGCCTCGAGCTCCCAGCTGTGCCACCCAAGCAGATCTATTGGTGCAGCTCGGGGAGCAGYGGTTAGGCAAGAGCTTAGAGATGGGGGAACTCTTTTTCATGGCTTTGTTGCTAAAAATGGGTATCAGGGTGAATGTTTTTTGCCTGTTTTTTCTGCTGACCCCATGGTATGGGGGAGCTGCACACGAGGGGCGCTGCGGGCACGTGCTGCGAGCTGCTGTCAGAACCCCAGCCGGACATGGGCTTGCACGGAGCGCATACGGGATTCCCTAAGCACCACATCTTTCCCCTCAGGGCTATGTCCAGCTCTCTTACAGAGACGTGCCCATGTCCATCCAGGAAGCCTATGAGATCCTGCTGGCCGACGAGGCAATGAGCCTGCTGCACTACCAGGTGTGTTGGGAGCTGCTGCCACTGGGAGGGTGCAGATCCAACCCCTGCCTCCCACCCTCTTCYAATGTCTAAGGGCAGGACAGTGAGGGAGGGAAGGAGAGTCATTCCCAATCTTTCCCCATAACCTTCTTTTGAGTGACCAGTTCCTGTTTCCTCACTTTTATTTTTGACCCCTAGCCCTAGGGGTTTTGGCTCTACTGGTGTCACACTGTTCACCCAGTTGCAGCAGCAGGGCTGAAGTGAACTGGTTTAAGGTAGTCACGTAACCCTCTCGCTTTTCTTCAAGGTATTCAGCCACCTGAAGCAACTGGGTTATATTGTTCTGAGATTCAACCCCAGGTAACTGGCTTTTTTCTTTCTCCTTTCTGAAGACCCTCAGCAGCTCCGTGCCCCAGGAGAAGGGTAGAGAAGAAGACTTGAGAAAACCCTTGCATTTCACCTCTTGGGAGGATTGAAGGCTAAAAGTGGCCCTCCACTCTTCCTTATTCCTCCCTCTTGAGGAAGTGATCGGGAACATGAAATGGGGCATAGTATGAGGACCATCCTAGTCCTGCTCGTGGCTTTTCTTGCCCAGAAAAAGAACTTTTTGCTGCTGTCCTCTGGGGGCTGAACAGAAGGGTGGCTTTGCCGCCCCTCCTGCCCTCAGCCCTGGTGTYGGTGTCTCCTTGCAGCGCTGTCCTGTCTCCCTACGAGAGACAGCTGAACCTGGAGAGCCACTGCCAGGGCTCTGGGAAGCACCAGCGCAAGAGGAGGAGGAGTTCCAGCCCTCGGTAAGGATGTGGCCCCTGCAGTGCCCTCCACTAGCCCTGCACCCTGCCTGCCTGGATATCTTGGCCTGGGCCGCTTGTGATTCAAAACAGGGAACAAACCCCGTCCCAGTCTCAGCCGTTTGCCCTCTGCAAGTTGTCTGGAGCTGGGATCYGGCCCTGCCGTATGGTGTGATGTATCCTGGTGATCAGAGGGGCAAATAGCACAGCTTCAYGAAGAGCTTCTTGCAGCTTGGGCTCCAAAGCCTTTCCCCATCCTTTCCCAGGCCSCAGTGCCCTTCCTGAGCTCTTTGCAGGTCAGCCCTTTTGTCACATCTGTGCTTCACACAGGGCTAACAGGGACGAGCTGCCCCTGTGCAGTGAGAGATGCCAAAACAGAAGGGGAGAGAGGTCGGTGTGGAAGAACCACATGGCAGATGTCTGCCCTTGCTCTGCTTTTGGAGGCAGCACAGACACAGCAGGGCCCATCCTTCTGTTGTCCGTGTCCTCGATGCTGCTTATGTGCTAAGACTGCACAGCGGAGAGCCCAGTGGGGTCCTGGTCCCTGCACGCAGCCTGTAGAAGCTGCCAAAATGCAAATAGCTGCTGACRCGACTTAATTTTGCTGATAATTGTGACCGTTTCCAGTAGGTGGCATCATGCTTTAAGAAATAGGGAGAGACTGAGCTGCAAGTGCCATCTGTTCCCTGCAAAGCTGGTGTGCAAGCAGGTAGAGTGGAGTTCTAGGAGCTGGAGATAARACCTAGGTCTTCTCTGGTTTAAGAACCTTCCTGCTACCAGTGAAGATGCAGAATTCAAGGGCAGTAAAATTAATTTGATCCTCTCCCTCTCTTTTATGCTGCTGCTTCTATGTTTAGGTCACAAGAGAAGAAGCCTAAGGTATCCGAGGACCTTCCAGAAGCTGAAGGGACCTCCGAAATGGCTGGTGATGGCTGCAGAGATTCGAGCTGCCTCCCCATGGATGAGACCCCTTCTTCAGAGCAGCCGAAGGAGTTGGATGCTGGCAGTGGAGGGGGAGAGTCAGCCCTAGTCCCTCCTGAGACAGGACAAGGGAAGGAGGCTCCAAGCCCGTCCGGGAGTGGGGCTGYGGAGCACGGGAGGAGCAGCCCTGGCACCCGCGCGCCCCGCTGGGATTTTGCCACCATCATGTTGCCCAACATGGCCCCAGACGAGCTGTGCACGCGTCTCCCCTCGCCTGACAAGGAGCTGCTGCCCGAGAACGTGCCCGGGAGGGAGGTCGACGCTGCCTCCTGGTGCAGACGCATCAATCAGAAGCACGAGAAGCTCTCACGAAAGGAAAGGGAGCAGCTGGAGAGGGAGAGCAGGTACAAGAGCAGCGTCAACGCGGACAGGGAGGTGAGGGGCTGCTCCAACTGGCAGGAGTACAAAGCTCTCCTGGAGCAGAGGAGGCAGCASAAGGTTTGGAGGCGACCGCCGCATCTCTGGGACCAAACTGTCACCCCGCTGCTGCGGCCGGATGAAGCCACCTCCACAGGTACTGGCTGTGGGAGGCAGGAGGGTGCTGGGGACCCCTGCACCCCCTCAAGCAGCGCTGTAGACCTGCGCTGGGCAGAACGATTGGCTTTGAAAGTGGCCAGAGGGATGGTGTGGGGGTGACGAACATCAGTTTAGGGGAGTTTCTTAAACAAGAAAAATCTCATGTGAAGGCATGGGCAAACCAGAAACAGAGGAGCCCGGCCATGGATGGGGAGAGGGAAGCAGACTTGTCCTGATGCCTTCCTATTTGTTTGTTTTTTTCTGTACCCCTTCAAGTCCCAGGATAAACAGGGCTTTGGGAGGTCCTTTAATCTGTTCCCCATGTCGTGCTGCATTGCAGTCCTTGCTGCCAGGCATGTGAAACCAAGGCAGGCAAGATGCAAAGCAACTGCAGGGTGTCYGGGGCTGGGAGCTGGGAGGAGATGAGGAAATGGAGGCCTTTGAAGCAGCCCCAGGGGCCTGCGGCGCTGCCAGCCATTGTGGAGGAGGCCAACGTGTGGGTGGTGCTCGTGGAGGGCCCTGGGTGAGCAGCTCTCTGATCCTTTGCTGTTCCTTCTCCCTGCAGCTGCCGTCCTCCAGCAGATCAGCATCCTGCAGCCCTCCCACATCCTGGACGGAGCCTCCCGGTTAGTGTCCTGCCTGCYGGCTCAGAGCTGGTGAGGAGAGGGCATCTCCTCTGATGGTCCCTGCCTGGGAGGTCTGTGTGATGCTCTCAGCAGCAGCGTGGGAGCTGCCCAGGCTCCAGGATGCCGAGAGTATCCAGTGCTGTGATCCACGACCCTCTCATCTGTAACATGARTATTTCCATGTGGCACTGGCTCAGGGAGCCAAGGCAGTGCAGGCTGACTGTAGCTTTGGCTGTTGCTCCCTCCTGATGTTCCCTGCCTGCACAGTTGACAGGGAATCTTGTCCAGAGGTTGGTTGTGCTTCACCTCCGCCTTATCCCTGACATGTGCCKTGCAGGGCTTTGCTCCTGTGTCTCTTGGTGGTACTTTTGCAAGGAATGCTGGAAAAGGAACACATTGCAGATGCGGGGAAGGAGTTTAGTCTGACATTAAGATATGGGGAAAGGTCTGGGAAGGAATCAGAAAGTTAGAGGATCAGTCACTTGTCTGGGGAGTGAAGCTTTAAAAGGCCCAGCCTGGACAGGCTTCAAGGGCTTTTGCTCCCTCCCTTCCCCTGCTGTGTCTCTGCCCAGTGCCATGTCTGTCCCACACAGATGTGTTCCCTCTCCTGCAGGCTGCAGGAGGACACGGAGAGCATCACGATAGACTTCAACGTGTATCAAGCAGATGCTGTGGCCAGGTTTAAGAAGACAAACCCTGGGAAGCCCTATGTCAGGATGTGTGTACGGAGGTATCCATGGCACGTTGTGKTTTCTCTTCAAATATCCCCGTTGCTCTCAGGGAAATGAAGTCCTAACAGTCTGTAGATGGCCCAGGATCTTGTAGGCTTTATGGGTCCTGCCTTTAGGGTGGTGCTGCCCAGAGATTTTGTTTTCTTTCTGCTCTTTCTTTGTGGAGCCTGTGGCTGAGGATCCCYCCAGCCCTAGCGCTCGGCCACGCTGCAGTTTGGTCCTCGGGCAGCTGCTCATGTGGATGTTGCTGGAGTGGGGAGCAAGGAGCAGCCACAGCTGGTTTTGTGCAGTGCCCGTGACACCTGCTAGCACTTCAGGCACAGAGCCTGCGTTTGCACATCTGTATGGTATGCAAGTCCTCGGCTCTGTGCACATCYTGTGGGCTTATGGACCTGCCTAGAGGTGACTACAGGCTCAGTGCTACAGGTTTAGTGTTCTGATCTTTCTCATATGCAATTTTGGGTCAGGCAGAAACAAAGGGCAAGTATCTGTTTTCTTGCCAGATCCAGAATCTGATACTGATACTTAAATTCCATAGGCAGAAGCAAAGTTTGGTTCCTGCCTTTTCTAATTTCAGTATACTGTCTTTTCTCAACTCTTCAATTTCAGCAGAGACAGAGGAAGGAAGATGGTAATGCACTTYTACAAAGTCTGTATTAGGATGATTCTTACTGAACAAATATTTTCATTTAACAGTCATCAGACTCTGCAGAACTAACAGGAAGGGGGATCCCATCAAACTAAAGGGCTTCCTAGCACAGAAGTGCATTGGATTGGCGACCTGCCAGCAGCCCTGGAGCGGCATCTAATAGGCACAGCAGGGAGCCCTGTGCCATTGCCCTTGTTTCAGCAAGGTCTTGGCACACAGTGCTCTCCTCCCACTGCTGGCAGCCTCCTGCTCTCATTGAGAAGTGTGGGGAGGGTCACTACCAGCTCCTGAGGCCAGAAGGTAGTCGTGGTTATCACTGATTTTTCAGGGATGCCCAGCTGGGTGAACCTGRCTCATTGCTGGGAATTGTCTAGCTGTTCTGTCCCTGGTAATCCAAACTTCCCTGGACACCTGGGTTTGTGTTTTCTTCCGTGCTTTGAGACCTGTTTTTCTTCCTCTACAGCTTTGATGAAGATATTCCGTCCCTCCGAGCTTTGAAGCAGGTCACGTATCAGAGCGGGGATGTCCCGGTGGTCTTTGCCCTGGTCGACTACGGAGAAATTGCCTTTTATTCGCTAAAGGATTTCAAGCTGCCAGTTGATATTAATCACTGAAGCTGCCGTCAAGTGCAGAAGGGATGTGGGATGAAGGGAAGAGATTTATTCAGGATTTGCTTTCTTGATTAATGGAATATTGTGCAAAACGGAGCCTGTGATAACCAACTTCTATGCTTGGAGGTGGATCCAAGCAAAGCAATCTGACTGCAATCGAGCAGTGTGGGCAGCCTGGTGGGGTGTTTCTGGCCTGCAATCTGCACCGCTTGGTTCTGGAAGCCGCTGGTGCTCCAGCTTTCTGATCTCATGGACCGCTAGCTTTGACTAGTCCTGTCGTCTCTGTCCTGTGGACAACAGCCCTCCATGGACACCTGTGCTAGGCCAGTCTGAGCAGTTGGAGGATCAGTGAGGTCAGACGCGGCCGAATAAGCTGATCAGATCAGTGGTGATGCCCTGAGCCTCTGCTGTTCAGCTGCACCAACAGGCACCGGGTCAGATCCTTTATGAAAACAAAGTCAGCTGCAAAACTCAGCCCCAGGAATCAACTTTCCGCGTATTGACAGCAGGAAACTCTGGGCTTTATGCTCTGTTTTGTCAACCAGAAAGCCCCAGAGTGTTGTGGCTGACGCCCCAGCCTCGTGCAGTGATGCTGTCCTGAGATGTTTTGGCCATGCAGTGTTACAGCATATAAAATAATGCTGTAATATCAGCACACTGTGTCTGCTCTCACCAGGGCCGTGCTGCAGCTCTCTCTGGTTCCCCTGCCAACATCCCCTTTCCAGGTGGTGGCTCCTTCCAACATCCCTTTTTCAGGTGGTGGTTCCTTGTCTTTTCCTTTGCAAGTGAGAGATCCTTCAAAAACAGAAGCTACAGTTGCCTTTCGAGCCATCCAGTCCTGTGGCTGTCATCGACAGGACATCCCTATGGTCGACAGGACCATAATGTGTCCTGTTATTTCCAGGCCCTGCCTTGGGAGCCTCCTGCCAGGATATCCAGGTGCCGGATCCGCTTTAGCCCCTAGGCAGACGGGGCAGTTGTGGCTGCTGCAGAGGCTGCTCCGTGGTGGGAGGTGCTGAGCAGCGCTGCGTTCGGGATGTAGCTTCCTTCGGAAATGTAGTGTTTTATGTGCATTAGTTTTGATAATCTTGGCATTTCTTTTGGAGGGTGGGAGGGAAGGAGGCAAAGGCTAAAGAATAAAACACCTTTTTCAACAGCTTGGGCTCCTGAGTGCTATTTCATTAATGTTTGGGGGAAAATTAGGTGGAGAAGGATACTCCGGGGAGGCAGAACCTCAGTATCACCAGCTGCCTGGCAGCTGCCCTTGGTTGTAGGGCCCCTTGTCACCGGTTTGTGTTGGCACCGGGTCTYGCCGTCAGCCTTGACTCCCTCGCAGGGAGCCCCTGCAGGGCTCCTGGTTCCTGCAGACACCTGTGTTAACAGCACTGGGTCTCAGCGGGGCTCCACTGGGCCGAGCTCTACTCTGAGAGCTCCTCTTCATCTTCCTCCTCCTCAGAGGCAGTATTTTTACCTCAATCCGTGTCTGAAAATGCCCGGGTTGCTGGTGGCGCCGGGCTCGCTGTTCTCCCAGGCCGTTTTGCAGATGAAAGGCAGCAGGAAGGGAGTTGCTAAGAACAGGCCCAGCCCGAGGCCCACGGGCCTCGTGCGTGTCCTGGAACGGGGTCAGCCGCCCGCCTGGTGCCTTCCCTGTCTCAGCTGCTTGTGCCGGGGCAGCTGTGCGGATGGGCAGGAGCCGCCCGGGAGTTTTGCCGGGATAGAGACTCCCTGGTTCAGCACAAACCAGTTACACTTTAACAACCACGGCAGCCACCACTGAGAAACTGGCCGCACGGTTCCTCAGCGCCGCAGCAGCGGCCGGGGCCCTTGKGGGATGGGGCAAGCGATGCAGCCTGATGTCCTGGCCTCATTTTGAGGGCAGAGCAGCTGGATGCTGCGTGGAGCTGACAGAAAGAGGAAATCAACTTCGAAATTTCCCCTTTGCTTTAACTTCATATTTTTCCTTTGCTTTAACTTCATAATTTCCCCTTTAAYTTAACTCAATAATTATTTCCCCTCTGAGGCTCGGCGGCCGCAGCGAGACCCGCGCGCCCCCCAGCGCGCTCGATGGCGCCGCGCGCCGCAGAGGCGCTTCCCATAGGCTGGCGGCCGCAGCCGTCGCTTCCCCATTGGCTCCGAAGGAGCGGAGTGCTGAATTATTCATGAGCGCCCCGCGTGGTAGGGCCGGGTGAAAGGCCAGGGGAGCCCGCGACTCGCCGTGATTTGCATACACGCCCCGCCCCTGGGCGGAGACCTGCAAGCGGAGCCCCGCCCCTGGTTTAAATTTGCATGCATAGCCCCGCCCCGGGGCGGATCTCTGCCCGAGGGCCCCGCCCCGCCGCGCCCTCCGGAGGTGCCCGCTGAGGGAGGGCGGGAGGCGGCGCCGGGCGGGGGCAGC